TTTCGGACAAAATAGCTTGGCAGGAAAAAGAGGGGGGGGGGTGAGGGGGGGGGGGGGGGACGGGGGGGGGGGGGGGGGGGGGGTTGGGGGGGGGGTTGGGGGGGGGGGAGGGGGGGGGGGGTGGGGGGGGGGGGGGGGGGGGGGGGGTGGGGGGGGGTGGGGGGGGGGGGGGGGGGGCAGCCCGCCCCCATTTGCAAACACAATGCTGTGTGCTTCTCCAAAAAAAATCCCCTGCTTAAAATGAGTTTTGCAAACACAATGCTCGCATCATGTGATTGAAAAGACTGTGCAGCTTAACATGGGTGGCAGCCTGAAAAAAGGCGGGGGGGTTGGGGGGGGCGCAGCCCCCCCCCCCCATCTGCAAACACCCATGTGCAAACACAATGCTCGCATCATGTTTTGAAAAAAACTCCACAGTGTTTTGACAACACAATGCTCGCATCATGTGCTTGAACAAGACTGCACGGCTTAAAATGGGTGGCATCCCAGTGGCAGCCTGAAAAAAAGCCGGGGGGTTGGGGGGCAACCTCCCCCCTTGGCAAACACAATGTTTCGCGTGATGTATTCGCACGACTTAAACACCCCCTCTTCCGTTTGCAAACACGACGCTCGCATGATGGGTTTGAGATAAAATAAGCTTTGTGCATCTAAAAAAGAGCCGGGGGGGTTGGGGGGGGTGCAGCCCCCCCCCCCCATTTGCAAACACAATGCTCGCATCATATGTTAGCAAAAATATGCACTGCTTAAAATGGGTTTTGCAAACACGATGCTCGCATCATGTGTTTGAAAAAGACTGTACGGCTTAAAATCGGCGGCCTGCAAAAAAAGCAGGGGCTCGGGGGGGCGTAGCCCCCGTGCTTGCCTCCTTGCCTGCCTGCTTGCCTGCTTGCGTGCTTGCTTGCTTGCTTGCTTGCTTGCTGGCTTGCTTGCTTGCTTGCCTGTGTGCTTGCCTCCTTGCCTCCTTGCCTCCTTGCCTGCTTGCTTGCTTGCTTGCTTGCCTGCCTGCTTGCCTCCTTGCCTGCCCGCTTGCTTGCTTGCTTGCCAGGCCAGAGAGCCGGAAAGAAAATAGATAAAAAAACAGAAAACAAATAAGCAAAAAACACCGCCACCTTGGGGTTTTGGGGTTTGAAGTTTGGAGTTTAGGGCCTTGAGTACCCAATACCTGCGCGTTTGGGTTTGGTGGGCTGAGGGCTTCGGGGTTTTCTTAAGGGTTTAGGGCTTTCAAGTTCCCGACCCTTGGACCCTAAACCCTAAACCCTAAACTCCTGCTGGGTGTCCCGCCCGGTCTCCCGCCCTGGTCCCTGGAGTGCCCCGCCCTGCAGAGAAGCCCACGGAGTTCTGCCGAGCATCCTTGGAACACCTCACCCCCAAAAGAAGCCCCCTGCAGACCTAAACCCTAAACCCTATACCCTAAACCTCTCTATCATAATGAATTTAAACCCTAATTCAAAAGTGGGCAACGGTGACTTTTGGGCTTCAAAAGTGGGCAATGGTGATTTCCTTTTCCCCGAGTTTTTTCAAGGTTTTTCAAGGTTTTTCAGCGTTTTTCAATGTTTTTCAAGGTTTTTCACTGTTTTTCAAGATATTTCAGGTTCTGATGACCAAACCGAGCCTTCACCGGTTTCAGAATTTCAAGTTTTTCCAGGTCTTTCAAGGTTTTTCAGAATTTTTCAGTGTTTTTAAGGTTGTTCAATGTTTTTCCGGGTGCTTCAAGGTTTTTTCCCTTCAGTTCTGATGAAGGACTGCCCCCGCGACCTTTTCACAGCCTAGTTTCGTGTTTTTTCACTTTTAAAGGCAAAATAGTCTTCGGAGACCCCCCCTTGCCTCAAACTCCGACCCCCCTTGAGAGGAAAGTTTGCTTCCAAAAACACCCCAAATGAGGGGGGACTCCAGGATCGGCCCGGGTCCCAGTTAAGATTGCGATTTTTTAGTACTGAAATCGACGGTTTTGGGTGGGCTCTCGTTTTCTGGATTTTTAACCAAAACCGAGCCTTCACCGATAGGGGCTTCTAAACCGTAGGGTTTAGGGCCCTAAGAGCATAAAGGGCCTATTGTGGGCCTTGGATTAGATTTCGGGTTTTGGGTCCGTTAAAACTAAAATATTTTTCTAATGTTATGGGATCCAAAGGGTGGGTGGGTATACATTCGATATCAGAGTAGCGAGCTTGACTAGTGAATGCTTGAACTGGAGATGCTGAACCCTAAACCCTAAACCCTAAACCCTAAACCCTAAACCCGCTGCGAGTGTCCCGCCGCGCGGGCGTACCCAACCCAAAAACCCTGCAAGGAGTCCCACCGAGTATCCTTAGGATAGCCCAACCCTTCCGGAGAATCTCACAAGGGTCTGCAGAATATCGGGGGAGGATCGAACGAAATACATATTCAGGGTTTAGGGTTCAGGGTCACCCTAAACCCTAAACACCTAAACCCAAAAAAAAAAGACATCCACCGAGTTCATCGGACCAGGCTGAGCCGGGGGGCGGCGTGCAGCTCGTTCAGGTACTGGATCTTGCGCTCATGCCGGTAGAGAATGAACCTGCAACTTGCTGGCTCTTTGCAGGGAAGAGAATTCGGAACACTATATATATATATATATATAAATACATATATACTCATGTATTTATTTATTTACTTTTTTATTGATGATCTCCTCAAGGATATAGGTGGACAGAAGGCCCCCCAGTCCATCTTCAGAACTAGTAAGATAAAGGCATGGATCAAACCCTAAGAGGCTTCTACCCGGGCTTCAATGTCACGAGTCCAGGCCAGGGTGCAGTGCAGACGCGTAGCCGAGGAGGCAGAAGTCTCCTCAGAGGAAAGTGTGTGAACATCAGACGTCATGCCGCTTCATGCGATGAGCCAGCAGCAAAGGATGGAAAAGGTAAGCATCGCTACCTGTCGCTGCATTCAAAGGCCCACTCTCAGAAGAAAGCTTCGGGTTTGGGAGCCTTTGATCAGGGCACTTTGCTTCAAAGCATCGCAGGGCTGTCACCTCGGCCTGTCGCAGCAACACCCGCACCTGCATCATGCTCCGCGCGAGTGCCACCTGGCGGGGTCCCCATGCAGTCTCAGGGCTTGCGGGTTTCGCATTTGGGGAGTTTGGGGGCTTTCAAGGCAACCCTAAACCCTAAACCCTAAACCCCAAAACCCTAAACCCTAAACCCTTAGGGCTTAGGGCCATCTGGGAGAGCAGACCAAAGTACGCGCGCGAGCCAGCGTGACGCATGGAATGCACACTTCACTGGAGCATCCTGGGACATGCTATGGACGCATCGGGCGAAGGAAAACTGGGTGAGATACCGAATGTCCCTAAACCTAAACCCTAAGCCCTAAACCCTTAACCCCAAACCCTAAACCGTAAACCCTAAAACCCTAAACCCCTAAACCCTGAACCTCCAAATCCCCCCGAGGCTCAACGAAAGCAACCACCGCTCCTCCTCCCAACTTGCATGGATGCGCTTCGCGATCTGCAGGAGCGAGTCGTCTGTCACGAAGCCTCTCCAAGATAGTGAGCTCGCCCCTTAGGGTTTAGGGTTTAGGATTTAGGGTTTAGGGTTTAGGGTTTAGGGTTTAGGGTTTAGGATTCAGGGTCTAGGGTTTTGCAGGGGATCTGAAGCATGGGCCCTTGATTTGGGTCCCCTGTTGCATAACCCTTATCTACACTATACATAGTGACAGCCCGTACGTCGGATCCCTTTCAATCCCTTCAACAAGGGTAGGGACCATACTAAGGGCCCATGGCATCATGGTTCCATGGAAACCCTAAACCCTAAACCCTAAACCCTAAACCCTAAACCCTAAACCCTAAACCCTAAACCTAGGGTTGAAGGAAACCCCGCAGCTCAAGGGCCAGCTTGTCGAGGCCTCGTCCGGCATTCTCCGCCACCTGGGCCCGAAACTCGCCCCAGCTGCTGCTGAAGTTTGTGCCATCACCTTGGAAACCCAGACAAGCCCTCCGACCCTTAGGGTTTGGAGTTTAGGGTTTCGGGTTTCGGGTTTAGGGTTTAAGGTTTGCCCTCTTTAATCCCCCCCTCTACGCCCTAAATAGTAAATACTCCCAGTATCAATATATCATCATACAGGGGGCTTACTGCTATGGAAGCACTCTTTAATCCCCTCTCCTTGATATTCAACCCCCCCTACCCCCTAATGTTAAATACACCCATTATGGTTTTTGAGTAGGCTCTGCTGCCAGGAAGCAATCCAAGAGCTGCCGGAAGGGATAGTAGCTGGCTTCTGGAAGACAGACAGAGGGTTTGGGGTTTAGGGTCTAGGGTCCAGGGTTTAGGGTTTAGGGTTTAGGGTAAGGTTCTGGGCGGTTCAAGCCATACATGTGTCGGATTGACTGTTGCCGGCCTGCTCGCTTTCGGGGTCGCGAGAGCAGAATCCGTGGGGTGGCAGCTGCCAGGCCGACCAGGATGCAGGCAAGCGAAACCCGCGCCATCGGAGCATCATCCACTCTGAAGCCCCAGAAACCGGCGAAACCCCGATTCGCCCCCTTCTCCCAAGCCTACAACACCCTAAGCCACCCCCGCCAAATTCCCAAAATGCAGTTCCTGATACCACTGATACCCCATTGCTTCAGTCACGGGTTGCTGTCAGCCTCGACTGCCGTAACTCTAGTGGAGCGCGCATGCGTCTCTCGAGGCTGCGAGAGTCTAAGCAACTGCACTTCCTTGCTGGGCCTCTTTGCAAAGCTGGTGAACACTCCGAGCCTCACGGCTCATGCTGGTGAGACCTGCTGATGCACCCGCGACGCCAGCGTCGCGAGGGGGGGGTCCTCTCCGAGTCGTCGATGTGCAGGTCTCCGCTCCCATCATCTCCCAAGCTTTGGGTTCTCCTCTTTGCTTCTGGAAGCCGGGATATCCACAATCACCGTTCGCCACGCGGGCAAACATGTCGTGACGACCCCTGCGCTCACACGTGCATCACCACGAACTTTGCGAGCTTTGGGAGCGGCCAGAGCTGCCAAGCATGGTTCAGCAGGGACTCCTCTGGAATCAGAGCCTGATCACCTCCTCATCACCGCGGGGCTTTCGCCTGAGATCAGGATACTTAGGGTTTAGGGTGTAGGGTTAGGGAGCCAGCTTCACTCAGCCCATAGCATGAGTGCACATAGATTCCACCAAGACGCCTGTTCTCCTTGCCGTAGCCTGGGGCCCAACATTCATGTCATGCTAGTCTTACCTTCTGAACCAAGGCAAGCACCCCAAATTCAAGACAACCAAAACCACTTTCAACCCCAAAAGCCCCCAAAGACATCCCCAAACCCGGTTAAACTATTTGTTGGCCCCCTCAACCCCTTGTCCAATCCTTAACAACCCTAAACCTGGCCCAGCAGCACGGAAATACCCGGTCGGACTCGGGAATGGCCTTGGTCCTTCTGATCTCGGAGCCTTTCCGCATCCTGGAAGGGGACCGTAGCTCAAGGGGCAAGGACGAAGCGAGTCGTCGACTAACCTCCTTACTTTGCAAACCCCGTTTCTTCAGGATGTTCTGAACTACCCTAAACCCTAAACCCTAAACCCTAAACCCTAAACCCTAAACCCTAATTTCGAACAGGGCCCCAGGCTGGATCTTCCGAAAGGCGGGGAGCCCGGCCTGCGCCAGCTGACTCGCAGGGCCTGGACGCGAGGAGCTATGCCAGCACATTCGGTTGAATCCCCCTTTAATGCAGATTTAGGGTTTGGGGTTTCGGGTTTACGGTTTAGGGTTTAGGGTTTAGGGTTTAGGGTTTAGGGTTTAGGGTTTAGGGTTTAGGGTTTAGGGTTTAGGGTTTAGGGCTGTATTGCTCTTCGAAGGGTAAACTTCGTGCATACGGCCTGGCACTCGGCTGCAATCTTCCCGCAAGGAGCTTCCAGGGGCAGCACTTTGAAAGGCTCCTGGCATAGGGACCCCAAACTCTCCCGAAACCCCTAAACCCGAAACCCTAAACCCTAAACCCTGGAAGCAAAAGCTGGGGGGGGCAAGTGTTCCTAGTTGCTTGGATCGCGTCCTCCAGCTGGATGCCCACGTCTTCGATACCTGACTCCAAGGTAGCTAACCCAACAAGACCTACACCGGCCTACAACCACATCTCGAAAGCGACTGTCGACAAGGTGCCCAGCAAGCCGAAGGCAACGAGCTGCTGGCTCAGCACAGCACCCACCTCAGCTCGGAGTGTGGCCAACCGGTGGCCCGCCTCCTTCATGACAGGTCCCGGTAAGCTCGCGACGCCCAGCTCGCTGGGCAGAGCAAGCGGGAGAAGTGCCAGCCAAAGGAACAAGAGGCCTCACTGAGCCGTGGCGCAGCACTTCCCAGCATTTTGCTGACTAACTGGTTTTCCTCTCTTTTGCTGACCTAAACCCTAAACCCCAAACCCGAAACCCTAAACCCCAAACCCTAAACCCCAAACCCTAAACCCTAAACCCTAAACCCCCAATTGGGCACGGCACCTGCGGTCTGCTTGGCGTACGGCTCTGGAACCTCGGCTTGGCTCCCCCGTTGAAGGCGGGAGAGGCAACGCTGTCTTGGTCCCCCTAAACCCTAAACCCTAAACCCTAAACCCCAAGCCCCAAGCCCTAAACCCTAAACCCTAAACCCTAAACCCTAAACCCTCAACCCTCAACCCTCAACCCTCAACCCTAAACCCTAAACCCTAAACCAAACCCTGCACCCTAAACCCTAAAAATGTCCGGCCTCTTCAGAGGCCCATTCACAAGCGTTCAGGGCGTCGGAGAGCCTGGACCTGGGAGTCACGCTTTCGAGCAGCTTAGGGCCTTTTTTTGGATTCGGGGGGGGGGGGGGGGGGGGGGGGGGGGGGCTGCCTCTGCCCTAAACCCTAAACCCTAAACCCTAAACCCTAAACCCTAAACCCTAAACCCTAAACCCTAAAGCCCGAAGCAGATCCTGGGGGCCCCCGGCAGCTCGCCCTCCAGAGCAGCCTTTTGTGGCTTCGGGATGTCCAGTTGAGACGACAGGGCCTTGCGAAAGCTCAGCAGCTGGCAAGCGCCCCTAAACCCTAAACCCTAAACCCCTACACCCCCCAACATGGATCCTGAGAGATGCTGCTGGTTTAAGGCACTGACCATGATCCTGAGGTACACAAAGCGTGGTGGAGACATGCCAACAGGCCTGCTCATCACCTTTGTCGGGGGCTTGAAGCATCTTATTGTATGCCTCTTGTGGCGGGAGGTTTCGCTGGAACTGGCTGCCTCATCAATGTCCCGGTCGCTCAAGCCCTCGTCATCAGACGCCTGCAGGAGGTATCCGGCAGCAAAGCACATGCGGACTATCGAGTTTTCAGCCCACAAAGCCTTAATGTGATGCACCCTAAACCCTAAATCCTAAACCCTAAACCCCACACAGCACCTGCAGGACTCTGGGCCCTCTTGATGCACGAAGCATCTCAGCCAGCTCGGGCATGTCCGTCTGCCGCGCGTGGCAGAGCATTGCGGCGGGCAGCCTTGCGGCGAAGGTGCCACTCCGGCAACCCCTGAATCCTAAACCCACCATTGTTGAGGGTTTAGGATTAGGGTTTAGGGTGTAGGGGTTCAGGGTTCAGGGTTTAGGGTTTAGGGTTTAGGGTTTAGGGTTTAGGGTTTTAGGGTTTAGGGTTTAGTGCTTAGGTTGCCCTTTTGCTGGCCAGGGTCGCTGGCAACCACCGGCAGAACTTGAGGAACTCATCTCCTTGGTGATGCGTAGGGGATCAGGGAAGTAACCCGTTGCGGGTCTTTATATAGGGGCCTCATTCCATCATGCCCTGTTTAGGGTTTAGGGTTTAGGGTTCAGGGCTACGAAGAAACAGCCAGCCAGTAGTGCAGCTGGGGCACGACTTGCCCACAAGTGGGCCTCACGGCTCACGTTCCTGCTGGCTCTTCGCATGGTGCGAAACAAGCGCCAAAAGCGCTTTGTGTGAAACACAGGAGCCACTGAACAACGCTTGCACATGTAGCACTTGCCGCAGACCCCTCTTGGCATTCTGCGCTCGCGCGTCCTGATCGTACTCACCACATCTGCCCACAAGCCGCGGGCTCTGCCGAAGCGCTCGCTTGCGGAGCTCACGCGGCTCCTTATGCAAGGCCGCTTCATGCCCCCGTACCAATCAGTTTCGTGAACCTTTCTCTTTCAGAAAGGCTTTGAAGAGTTGCTGTACATTGGGATCTCCGTTTCACACTACATTGAGTAGAACACACTGACATCTCTCATGCGTGCCCGGCCCGCTTCGACAGCATCTGCACCCCCGCATGAAAAAAAGCAAGCATCCAAAAGCCTCAACCTTGAAGCAAACCCCCCTTCGAACCTAAACGTCTCCCAAAACAGCCTCAGCCGGCCAAGTGGCTCTGTCATACGTAGCTTTAGGTCTCCGTAATCACTTTGATCCGAGGTGGGGGGTGTTTCGGGTAAGCCCGAAAAAGTCCCCAAGCCCGAAGCCCCACAGGTTTAGGTGAAGGGTTTCAGGTTTAGGGTTGCGGCTTTAGGTTTTAAGGTTTAGGGTTCAGGGTTTAGGGTTTATAGGGTTTATAGGGTTTATAGGGTTTATAGGGTTTATAGGGTTATAGGGTTATAGGGTTATAAGGTTATAGGGTTGAGTGGGTGGTTTTGGGTTCAGGGCAACCGAGTGGCAGAACCAGGAAAGCCAGCCCCAAGGAGCAGAGCTCGAAAAGCGGCTGGGGGAGCTGCGCCGGGGATCCTGGCCCGGCGTTGAGGGTGGCTTGTTTAAGGGATTTAAGGTTTAGGGTTTGGGGTTTGGGGTTTAGGGTTTAGGATTTAGGGGTTCGGCGTTAAGGGTTAGGGGTTAGGGGTTAGGGGTTAAGGGTTAGGGGTTAGGGTCTTTGGAGGTTTGTGGGGGATTTTGCAGAGGGCTCCAAGGTCTGTAGGAGGGTTTCATTGGGTTTCTCTTGAGGACTTTAGGGGTTTAGGTTTAGGGTCTGACTTGCACCAAGGTTTGCGTCCCTTCCCCGGACCAAGAATCGGGTTTCGGCTCAAAAGGGAATCGTTGAGGCGCTTTGGCTCAGGGTTGCGGAAGGTGAACGCATATGAAGTAGGTTTTATATTTCTTGTATCCCCAAAAAGGACACCAAGTATATACACTCACCAAAAGAAAAAGGGAACCTTGTATACACTACCAATAACAGTACTATATATCCTGCTGCATATCAGAGTAAGGCAACCCATGATCCACGAGCGCGGAGCTTTGCCTCAAACTGTTCACGAATCGTTGACACTCCCGCCCCCTCCTGCAGGTGCGAAGTAGAGATTGTAGCCGAGAACTGCCTTGGCTAAGATTGCTGCAGAAATTTAAGCGAGCATGGCCCAGGCAGCTAAGCCACAGCGGCGATGTAGTTCAGGGAAGACAAAGGCTTTCGAAGCCTTGACAAGGGAAGCTGCGGTGCTAAGCACGTCATGCCCCACATGGGCCCATAAGCACCAAAAAGGAGGAGGCTTCAGATCGACGTAGCCTACATGGGGGGATCCCCTCAGGTTGTCAGGGGAGGGGGCCAGGGCGCCCATTTTAGAACCCCAACTGTGCTATTTCCTAGGGACTGGGCAGAATCCGGGCAACCCATTTTAGACCTTTTGTTGGCTATGGACTTGTTGTGTGTTGGCTATGGATCTCCCCCCAAACCTAACCACTGGACCAGCCTGCCTTGAATGTCGCAGCATTCTCGTCTACGAACAAAGAAAATCTGGTTATTTTTTTTCTTCTCATCTCATGGCACCAAAGTAGGCCTAGCCAACACGCGCATCCTGCGGCCTGGTTTCGAGGTGTGAGGTCTGAAGTAGTAGGTTACAATTGTAATTGTAAGACAAACTGGCTTCCGGGCTACGGGGTGTAAAGTCACAGGCTCCAGGATGTTTGCTTAAATGCTCACATCGTGAAGGCCAGCGGCTAGCAGCTATAGCCACCTTAATTTTTCCTTGGTGTTGATAGTCAAGCCATGATAGCCTAAGCGCGGGGGATTTTTTGCATCAAATGCCGCATCGGTTCTCAATGGCTGATCCACTTAAGGGGCACCTTCTCGTACTCTCCAAGGAAAAGATATGGAAAGACAAGCATCTGTGTTATCTGGATATGTGTGGCAAAGAAGGACTCCTGAAAAAGTAATCAGGCAATGCCTTCGTGGTCTTTTTGAGGCTGCCCCCCTGTTTTTGCGGGGGGACAGTTGGAACGGTCCTGAGTTGTGCTCGGCAAGTGAAGGTGACATTCCTCCAGACGGGCGGGTTCTTTGCGCAGCATGCGCCAGAGCTGCTGGCCACGCCGACCCGCTGGGGAAAAGGGATGCTGAGAGAGTGCACTACGAGTAGTATCAGAGAACAGTTAACTTCTCAGAGAGCGGTAAAGAAAGAAGGGGGGAGGTGAGAGAGGAAGAGGGAGCTGAGGGAGCTGAAGGAGCTGAGGGAGCTGAGGGAGGGAGCAGAGAGCGGCAAGCAGGGAGCCTTCTCTCTCTTTAGCAGGGGAAGCTGACCCAGATCGCCAGGCACGGAGCCTTTCGCGTTCTCTTTTCTCTCAAACCCTAAACCCTAAACCCTAAACCCTAAAACCTAAACCCTAAACCCTAAACCCTAAGCCCTAAACCCTAAACCCTAAAGAAAGAGGAAGAGCGGGAGAGAGGCTTGCGGGCTTGCGGAGCGCTTTTTCGCGAGAGGCGGGGAGCGGCTCCAGCCCGAAAAAGAGGCCGAAATAGGTCTGCAAAGAAGCCTCAACCCGAATGGGCCCTATTTAGGGTTTAGGGTTTAGGGTTTTGGGTTTAGGGTTTTGGGTTTAGGGTTTAGGGTTTAGGGTTTAGGGTTTAGGGTTTAGGGTTTAGGGTTTAGGGTTTAGGGTTTAGGGTTTAGGGTTTAGGGTTTAGGGTTTAGGGGCCCCCAAAAAAGGCCCCCCCCCAAGCACCGGACCCGCCTGAGAAATGTGTCGGAGCTTCCCAGCCGCTGCGCCAGCTGCTCCAAGGTTGAGACCAGCCTTGAAATGTCGTCCTCGCCATCCTCCCACTTCTCGACGGCCTGGGCCTGGGGTTTGGGGTTTAGGGTCTGGCCCCCCCAGGTCCCCCTTGGTTTGGGGTTTAGGGATGGCGGGGCTCGAAATCACAGGGCAAGCCCCTGTGCTGCCGAGAGTCGTCAGGCGTCGGGACTTCCAGCGGTGTCCCAGTCAAGCGAACGACCTCGCCGGCCTGGCCGGCCTCGCCGGCCTTGCCGTCGAGTGCTTCATCTGCGGGCATCCATCCTGCAGGATGGTAATCCCAACCAAAACACAAAGTCGATAAAACCAGGAAGTACGATCGCCCCAGTGAGACGTGACCAGGTATGCTGCACTGATGTCTTCGCTGTCAAGTCCTGCTGCGACCTCGTAGATGATGGCTGGGGAAAGTGCGAGGCCCAGGGTCAGCAGCCTTAGTCGAAGCACCAGGAGCTGAAGCGTCAGCACTACATGTGCGGAGGCACCCCTAAAACCCCTGAAACCCCTGAAGCCCCTGAAACCCCGGAAAGTCCTGAAACCCTGAAACTTCTTGAAACCCCTTGAAAGCCCTGAAACCCCTGAAACCCTTAAACCCTTAAACCCCCCCAAAAACCCCTTTAAACCCACCCCCTTGCACCCACCCCCTTAAACCGCCCCACTCCGCCAGGCCGGACAACCCTGGGCTGGTTCTGACTTGTGGTCTCAACCCTTCAGATTTCCCAGGGGCTTCAGGGGTTTTAGGGGTTTAGGCATTCGGGCTTTGGCGTCGCTTCAATGCGTCCCAGCGACTGCCCCAGCCCGTCGAAGGCGCCACCGAATGCCCTCCGGCACAGCCTCCGCCGGTCCAGGGCCTCGAAGTCGAAGTCTAGAGTTGCTTACTAGTACTTGGGCTGTTCCCTGTTATAGTAAGAGTCCTTCATAGGGATTATAATCGGGGGTACCATAATCCCTATGAAGGACTGTCAGCACAAGGGTAAACATCCCAAACTAGCACCAAGACTATCATTATGACTTAATACTCCTATATTGCCAGTACTATTACCAGTGTTACTACGATTATTGCGACTATCATAATTACTCTCACCATTGCTATCGCTATTACGAGCATTATGACATATTACGACTGCTATGACTGATATAGCTTTTCTATATCACCACATGAAGGATACTCCATATGAGGGCCGGGGATGTGCTTCGTGTACAGGAACACTGTTGCAAACAGGACCTGTCAGGGAACCCCTTAAGAAGAAATGCTCCTGCTCCACATCCTTGGGGACAATATAAATGAACCCTAAAAGGGTTTATGGTTCCAAGTCCAGAGGTAATTTCGCCCCCAAGGATGGCGGAAAAGAGCGAGGGAGCCTGCACCTGCGCTCGTCCCGAGAGCGTGTGACCCTGGTACAGACGGCTGCACACCTGACGACGTCGGACACCCAGAATCCATTCGTGGGGGGTATCGACAAATTAGGGCCTCTTTGTATTGTGTCTTTTTTGAACGGCTTCTGCTCTACCATCTAGGGGTACAAGAAAGACGGGGGGCCTGAGTTTTGGAAACTTCCTTGCGGTCAGTTCTTGAGAAGATGGGCCTCTTACTAAGGACGGCATTTGGGGTTCCTAAGGTCCCTGCGATCCCTACGCGTCCATGTACCTACATAATACATACTTGGGCCTTAAAGGGGTTCCCAAAAAGAAGCTTTAGGGATATACTATACATAGGGTACCTGGAGGGGAAGAACCTTGGAGACGAAATGAACCCTAAAAGGGGTTTATGGTTCAGGTACCTTAATAGGAAATGCAGTAGTATAGGGTAGACGATGCCAATTCTAGGGTTCATCTGGTCCTCAAGGGACTCGTGTCTCCCAAACCCTAAACCCTAAACCCTAATCCCCTAAACCCTAAACCCTAAACCTTAAACCCTAAACCCTAAACACTAAACCCTAAACCCTAAACCCAACCTGGGATCGGCGGCACGAAGAAGGGGCCGCGAAGACGGGCAGCGACGCGGAGGCCGAGGCCAGGATCAGGTACCTTCTACCCCCCACCTTTTTTTAGGGTTTTGGGTTTAGGGTTTAGGGTTTAGGTTTTAGGGTTTAGGGTTTAGGGTTTAGGCCCTTTTCTGGGTACCCGAAAAATTTGGGGGCCGCCTTCTACCCAAAAGAAACCCAAATTTCCGGGAAGTGGCCATATGATTCCCCCTTGAAGGGAGTACATTGGGACCCCAATTCCCCCATTCCTTTACTGTACATCTCTTGGCTTTGGGCACGAGTTCATTGCTGTGGCTTCCAGCGTCTAAGCGCCGTGATCTTCGGATGCAGCCGAGGATCGTTGCAGTGAGCTTTGAGGCCTCAAAGAACAGCCGCCAAGACATGCAGCTGAAAGACCGCCCCCCTTTCAGCCTGCCTGGCCCGGCCTTGCGTTTCACCACGGAGGCCGGCCGCCGGCGCCTCACGCGCCCCATGGCGCATGGGCGTGCTTGAGCACCCAGCTGCCAAGCAGGGTTTAGGGTTTAGGTTTAGGGTTTAGGGTTTAGGGTTTAGGGTTTAGGGTTTAGGGTTTAGGGTTTGGGTTTGGGGTTTAGGGTTTAGGGTTTAAGGATGTCAGCCACAAGCTGCAAGCCAAGCACTAGTGAGCCCATCCGGCAGCAACCCACTCACTTTTTCCAGCTGCAGGCGGCTGCAGCATGAGGAAACGAATATAGGAGCCATAAGAGCCATTGACTCAGTTCACATCTCGGCCGGCGAATGCTGACGAGATCTGTGCCGGGAACCACACGGCCGCCAAAAGCCTGCGAAGGGCAGCTGTACAGCTGCACCGCACCTCAGGGCGGCGGCCTCTACGTGTTCTCTACGTTGTCTCTACGTGCCGCGCACGTCTCTGGTACATTTGCGCTCGGGAAGGCGAAAATACCGACATAGTTTGCCCTTCTCATGGCCGCAGTGGCAGCAGTTCGCCTTCCCGCAAGACCTCAAGAATACTGCTTCTTCACGAAGCTACCTGGCAAGAGTCCAGGCTTTCATCCGGGGCGTCATAGGACAGTTTGAGCGCAACGCCCCATCCCTGACAAGATTACGTCGAAAGGCACTGCTATACATTGTCGATGGAATCGATGGACAAGCGCGGATCCAGGAAAAGGTATTCTATTCGGCAGATTTTTTGGTCAATCCGATAAAGAAGCGACCTTGGATCCAACCTCCCCCCACCATCCAGAGGTCGCTGTTCGGTCTGGCATGCAGGGGGACCGCCACAAAGCGGGCATGGTGCCAGGTAAGGTATCCCAAGATGCCCATGTTTTCGGCACCCTTCAGTTCGGCGGGAGACCTCACAACACTTCACAAGCTACCTGGGGTAGGTTTGGGGGCCTATAAAAAAATTAGTTTCCAATTGGATTAAATAGGGGATTAAGGGCAATAGGTTCTAAAACCTATGCTCAAACCTACCCCTGCACAAGGCGACCGGTTGCCTTTTTTCCTGCTTTTGAGGCGAATGCCTCTGGCAGGAACACTTGGAGGTTCAGGGTACTTATAACCCCCGTTATAACTGTACTTATGAGCCCCCCCAAAATCCCCCAAGTGAGTTATAAGTAAACTGTCAAAAGTACCCTGACCCTCCAAGCAAAGATGGGCCATTTGTACAACGCTCTGCTGCACGGCGCGTCACCAGCTTGGAGCCAAGCTTTGGCTCCCTTGCAACTAAACTCAGGGCTTGGGGTCCGGGGATCTAGGGTTTAGGGTCTAGGATTTAGGGTTTAGGGTTTAGGGCTTAGGGTCTGTTTTTTTTGCAGGGCTTTGGGTGGTTGGAAACTTTGGAGGTGCGTCGGTCCAAACTTCGGCGTGCACCAGAACAGGCCACGCTCCCTGTGACACAGCACCAGGAGAGGCAGTGGCGAAAGAGCTACTTGGAGGTTCATGGTACTTATTAGTATGGTTATAAGTACAGTAAGAATAAGCTAATAAGTATCATGAACCTCCAAGTACAGGGCAAGTGTCTCATGCGTCCGCCCGAATTGGGCGACATTCATGAAGCGTGCCCTCCTCCTCCCGAATTCGGTTGTTTGCTTCAGCTGTATTGCAGTTCCGACACCACAGAGGTCACGACTTTCTTTGACAGGAACTCAGGACGCCTTGGCGGAGGCACGTGTAAAACCTCCAATCAGTGAGTCACTGCGAACCAGTCTCGGGAATTTGCTGGCTGAAGCCTTAAAGACTCCCTGTGCAAGCATCGGAAAGCGGCGAATGAAAGACGCCATCCAAGATCGTCCAAGACACGGCTTGAAGGAATACCCTTAGCCAGAAAGCACAACTCGCACATCCTAGCAGGCAGATGACCACCCCCCTCCCAAGTCTGTCGGTTTATGTGGGTGTTCATTCACCCCCAAATATCTGGCAACTCTTCTTATCGAACCCCCAAAATCGGGTACCTGTACCTTGGGGAAGCCACACTTCAACCCTATGAAGTGGGGTATATATTACTAGTACTGCGAAGAAGGGCACCCCATATGTACACACACACCCCAATATTCAGCAGACCCTTATGCACTCACCAAAAACAGCAATCTAAACACTTAACCCCCCATATCCAGTGGTCAAGTCACATGGCAGGCCCTGATTCTTCTGCCGGCTCGACATGCCGTCTTCCATCTCATTCCTGCGTCCGGAACCCGGGGTGGGGGGAAAAAAGTCCGTATTAAGGTTCTGCTTCTGATTTCAAGCGAAATTTTCCCTCTCTACACCCTCAGTCAAAATTAGGGCGTTCTGGGCTCTCTGGGAAAAAAGCCTACACCCAAAACCCTAAACCCCAAACCCTAAACCCTAAACCCTAAACCCCTACCACTGGAACGCCGATGGCAGCTGCCTGTCCCACTCGTCACGCAACACCTGCCCGGAGGCGCTTGAAAAGGGTTTAGGGTTTTAGGGTTTTAGGGTTTAGGGTTTAGGGTTTAGGGTTTAGGGTTGAGGGTTTTGGTTCAAGGGGTTTAGGGGGTTCAGGGGGTTTAGGGTTTTGGTTCAAGGGGTTTAGGGGGTTCAGGGGGTTTAGGGTTTGGGGTCTAGAGCTTTGGTTTAGGGTATCTATGGGTTCAGGGGTTGTTGGTGCAGGCCTGACTTTCACGGGCAATCTGGGACAAGATCTGCGACACCGGAAGAAGCTCGAAGGGCTCCTGGTGCGGCAGGGTATACATACTGTTTACATGTCAATGGTTTGGGGTTTAGGGTTTAGGGTTAGGGTTAAAGGTTTGCGGTTTAGGGTTTAGGGTTAAAGGTTAAGGGTTTGCCCACAATCTGCCAAAACTGCAATTGTTGGCTACGAAGAGGAACAAAGATAACGAAACAAGCGACTCAAACTTAAAGCCACTGGCTTTAACCGTCAAGGCCACATCACGCACGCACCCCATGGAAGACGACGACGATATCTTCCTTCGACGACACCTGGCGCCTTGTCCAGTGTCAACATATGCACGCCTTTCGGGGGGACCCCTCGTTTGGACACCTAGTTTGGGACATGTGCATTCGGATGAGAGGCACCAGGAAGATACTGTGACTTCCAACTTCACTAGAGTTGTGTCCTCCAGTGCCACGGCCACGCTTTGTATGCCTGAGCTCACCAACACATTTCTGCACTCACCAGCAACGGTGTTGAGCGTGTCTACTTCATATGAGAATTGTCCACGACTATGACACATATCCTCTTGTGCAGGCTGCCTCTCGTTCCCCTGTCCCTGCCCCACCGTGAGCCCGGCACTGCAAGGTGACCAAACAGACACTGAGGCTTTCCAGGTCAACATGGCAGGCATCAGCTAGCCTTTGTGCTGGTTATCTACTCCGTGCAGCTCAAGAGTACTTCAGTGCAACCTGGCGACCAAGAAAGATGTATGCCACGATCTGCTCGGCAAACACCGTGAAGATCTCGGCAGGCAACACTCTGAATTCCGGGCTTCAAAACCAGGAGCCTCTGTCACTTCTCCCAAGCCGGAAACGGGACCTCCACTCGGATCCCGGCGCCCAGCTGGCTCCGGAGTGCCAGGGGCAGAAGGGCCAGGAACAAGAACAGGAATCCTTGGCATGCCACAAAATGTACCCGCTCCACGAACACAAGTCAACAATTGCTGCAAGGCACGAGTCGTGTGCGACACGTAGCCGAATGGTGTCTCAGCACGCGGAGCGGAGTGCAGCACAAGCAGGGAGCTGTCATGCAATGTCAGGCGCTGGCATCCAAGAGCAAATCTCGGCGTCGCACAGATGATGCGAGAAGATCCTCACAGCTGCCAACAAAGTTTGACAGCTTAGACCTTGGTGCTGGGACGCCAGGAAGCCCGCCAGGCGCTGCACATCACACCCTCACCGAGGACATCTGCTAAGCCGCGCGCAGCGCCGCATCCATCGCCATGCGCTCGGTGTCCGATAGGGTGATCTTCTTCGAGATGGCCTGGCCAATCGGAACTACACGGAACAAGAAAGAAAGAAAGAAAGACAGAAAGACAGAAAGACGGAAAGACAGAAAGACAGAAAGACAGAAAGAAACAGAGAGAGAGAGAGAGAGACAGGGAGACAGGGAGTGAGAAGGGTGGTCGAAAGCAGCTTTTGAGGACCCTTGATGGCTCTGCTGCTCTCAGCTCCGCGCCGCCAGTCTGTGCACGACGAAGAGCGGCGCCGAGATGCCAGCAGGGCGGTTCATCACCTCCCGGCCGTTCCCAACACCAATCCTCAACCCTCAGCCCTTTCAGGTTTAGGGGTTGAGCCCGCAACGTGCCCTAAACCCTAAACCCTAAACCCTAGTAGCACAAGTTGCAGAGCACCAGAGACCACCCTCCCTGACCCCCTCCGGGGTGCCTCCGCAATCTCCGCTTCCGTGAGCCCGCCGATCTCCGGGACCTGCCGGACGGCAGGCAGAGGGTTTAGGGTTGGGGGTTCAAGGCTTAGGGTTTAGGGTTTAGGTTTAGGGTTTAGGGTTTAGGGTTTAGGGTTTAGGGTTTAGGGTTTAGGGTTTGGGGTTTAGGGTTTAGGGTTTAGGGTTTAGAGTTTCGGGTTTAGGGTTTAGGGTTTAGGGTTTAGGGTTTAGGGTTTAGGGTTTAGGGTTCCCTGGAATTCTTTGTTCTTCGGTTTTGAGCCACAGGATGCACACAAAATCAGACAAATCAGAGCCTCTGGCTGCCCCTTTCAAAGAGGCGCAAAGTCAAACCCTGAACCCTAAACCCTAACCCCAAACCCTTAAACCCTACACCCTATATAAACAAAAAAGACACATGCGGCGCCTCGTGGGCCTCATGCTGCGGACCTCTGGAACGCCGCAGCTGCGTCCTGAGATCCTGGGAGGTCACGTGGCACAGCAGAGCCGCGGGGAACCTGGGCC